AAAGAAAGTGGCAAACACATAAGCCGTGAGCCTGCTTCACCTCAAGCCTTTCCCAGCTGACCCAGAGCCGGTCACGGCGCACCATCAAGGCAGAAACACGCCCGCCGGGAGCCGTTCAGCACTGCGGAGAGCTACCCACACAATCCGGACCCCAGAGTTAATAACAGGAGGTTATGGTGTTTCACTCTCTCTCTCTATGACACTTGTATCTCGACCAGTAGCCTACTTTTGTTGTGTTTGCTGATCCTCTATGGTACACAAACACAGTATAGCCTAGTATAATCACATATCAGAACAACGGGACATCGGACTAATGAGAGGTCGGAACAATGCTACGGCACCAAATTGCGTGTGAATGTTAAACTGATGAGCACATGCAGCCTTGTGTGGTAGCATCAGCCATGTTTGTGAATGAATGAATGGTGCTTGTGCTGTAAAACGCTTTGAGTGGTCGCTAATACTGGAAGAGTCCATTTACCATTGTGAAAGGGGAGAGTTTTTAAAACATTGGATTGGGTTTTAAAGAATTGTCAAATATAAGTTCTTGTCTGGGGGAAGGGTTGCGCCAAACCCGGCTGAAGGAAATAAATCATGAGAAGGGCTGCTCCCAACTAAATTTTCCTAGTCTACCAATAGTCGTCATTTAAGGTCATTAGTCAACTAGTCGCCCGCATGTTTATGATATTGATTTAGTTATAAAATGATATATTTTGGTGGTTTGAGTTGAAGGTGTGAGAAAGAATAGTATCAGTAACATTGTTAACACTGTGTTACATTACAGAGAAATACAAAACCGTACTAATGAACCTTCATTAATATAGGCCTATATTTTATCTACAAGTGCACGTCACACTCTGAGCGAGCCGCCTGTTAATGACGCTGTGGGCTAATGGGCATGTAGCTACTTCCATGTTTCAGATGATACGTCATGTTTGCGTCGTCACTTCCTGTGTCTGTCCTTTCAAATTAAAGTCCCACATGGTCCAGTCATATAGGTTTGGATTTATTTTGACGAGGCATAGCTCCTAATAGAGTTTCACTTTCGTCAGACGTTAAGTTGAAAGGATTAAATCTGGTGGTAGCATAAACCTGTTGTATCTTCAAATGATCGATGTTCAGGAACATTTAGGATACCAATAAAATAAAAAATTCAAATTTGCAGTCTTAAAAATACTTTGGGAACCAACAGACTCCCCCATGTAGCACCTCTATTGAAACAGAGGAGGATGATGTTCATTATTTTTAAGATAATTGGAGTTTTGCTCATTTTCCATCAATATCCAGTGTAACTTCGAGCCAACTGCTTTCCTCCAGTCCACTTGCTCAGTCAATAGACAGCCACTGTCCATGATATAGATATGAGGTTATTGATAAAAATGTCCCCATGAGGAGCTTCTATTTGCTCAGTATCTGCTGCGTCTTGTTATCTCCATGCCCAACTGTGACCTACAATCATTTATCTCTTCTGTCTTCATGTGAGCATTATTGTCTGCTTTGCTGTCTGTTTCTCTCCATCTATCTTCATATATGTCCCAGCCAGACAATCTTTGGGCATCTCTCTCTCTCTGTGTCCTCATTTGAGTTGTGTTGTATGCCTGTTGTATGGATGAACCAGCTCTCAGGCCTTCCCCAGCTGTTGTCTGGATTTTAAACGCTCTCTAGGGTGAAAAGCAGAAAACCGATGCTGAGTTTCCTTTAAAATGCTTTTCAAACCAGCTGTTCTTCCAGTGCAAAGAAATTATGAAAGCTGTCTTTTTTTTGTTGTTTTTCGAGCTTGTTGACAGTGAGATTTTGAAAACACATGTAGGCTGAGCTACAAAATAGATGTGTTGGCGTGGTCGGCTGAGGACATACTGAGGTTGTGTCACATCTTCCGAGATGATCAGTTTGTGTCTTGGGACTGGCAGAGGGTACAAAGCATTTTTATTTGGTTCTCTGTGCAGCTACGATTTGAATTCTTGTGTTAAGATGCTGTTAAATGGACATTAGACATCAAAATATTGCAGTGACAAAGCATTGCAGCCTGAATGTTAGAAACGTTTCATTTTTATTTTTACTTCATTCTTTTTTGGGGGGTTATGAAATGGGCCATGTGCCCATTGTAACTAGATAGAACATGATGAAACATGCAGACAATCTGGATTATTGTAGCAGCTACAGCATTCAAGGAAAAAGCCCTGGAGCTAGCCTAGAGAGACTTTCAGTTTCTCTTATGATGTTATTCAGAGTGTTAGCCTTGTGTAACTGGACTAGAATATTTTGGAAAAGGGCTTTAATTTTAAAGGAACAGTCCAACATTTTGGTCATACAGCATGACAGCGTTAGTATCAATCTTATTTCTGTGCGTCCAGAACACTCCTCAGGACTCAGTATGTGACGCTGAGTGTGACTTTTTTTTTTAATCATTATTTGCGAGCGTGGTGTGTCTTGAAAGGTATGCTGCTTTCTGTCTGGAGTGACAAGATGTTTGTCAAGGGCAAAACCTATGTTTAAATTCAACATTTCCATAGACTACACCATGCCACTGCGCTCTGCTCTTTCTCTTTGCTGCGATGTACAGTTCTGTAAGTTAAGTCTGTGAAACAGTGGTTTCACTCTCAAACCATTTCTGAGACATTGATGGGATCACAAGAACCTTTGAAGACACAATCTGCTCCTTGATCACAGGTAAAACAAAAAAGACTTTTAGATTTTTCTCCTAAGGCTGCTTTCAGACTGACAGCACAGAGAGGCTTTAGCCAAAAAAAATGAAGGATCGTCCATGAGCTGAAGCAGGCACAACTTTTGCTGCAACGCAGAGCAGCGTCATATGAAACGAAATGAGGAATGATAAAATAATTGTCTCTTGGAGTCTGAATGCCCACGAGGATCTGCGTGCTGTGTGACTGTGTGTCACTGTGTAAACAAACAGTGCAGAGATCACTTGCATGTTTAGGATGCAATTAACCTAGCTTGGCAGAAGAGCTTAAAGCATACACAGCTAGCATCTACCCTCAGCTGGAGCTTAGGTGTCTCTGTTATTTGGCCTCATTGATGTAGATGAGGTGGACAAAGTAATAAATGATTACAGCAAAAATAAATATAACTGCATGAAGGCAGGACTTATTGCGTGACTGCTTTATTAGACTAGATTAGTTTAGCTAGGTGTACCTAATAAACTGACAGCTGACAGTCACTTAATATATATTGACGCTAGTGTATTGACACAGGTGCAGCCCATTATTTATTGTTAAAGTCAAAATGGTCAAATGAATGTGCTACGAGACAAGACAGAGCACAATCAGGTCCCGCCCACAACGCAGAGGAAAACAATATATTGCTGAAGGTGTCTCCTTGTCAATTCTGTCTGCTAGCAAACAACCAGAAAACGCTAAAAGCTCATATGTGTTTGGACGCACTACCAACATACAGTGCTCAGAGTGGGAAAAAAGAACTCCCTCATTTGCATGTTTCTGTTGGTGTATGTATGTAAGGCGGGGGGAGCCAAAAGAGTCATTTCATGAGTTGTTACTCTGTTACTATCGGTCTTCTCATTCCTGTCAGCCTGCTGCGCCTAGTTTGCATCGAGTAACGTAAGATTTGACTTTCAAAGCTCTGTTGTGTCATCCTCTGATTGTTCATGTTCTCTTTGTGTTTCCCTTTTGAAGCCAGGCCACTGTTACTGCACTGTAACATTACAACTAACTTCAAGGACCCTCTAAGGGTCGTGGACCCCCTTTTTAAGACCCAGGGGTTAAATGATGATCTAAACAGGTGATTTGATCAAATAGTTGGCAGCTAATGTGCACCCAACAAGCAGGCCTCGCTGTCAGACGACCCCGGCCCAAGGTCAAGGGGGTGCCCATGAAAAGGTCTATGGTTGAATTTAGATTGGATCATGTACAATTTACTTTCTGACTAATATCAATGAAAATACAATTCATATGTATTTACATGATAAATAATAGTGGTCCATCTGACAGAGGGGTCAGATCAGGATTTGATATTATGATGTAATACCTTGCAGATTCTACTTTTCTCTAGTCATTCAACATGTAGCTACAGTTGTCGCTCTTTAGTTGCTAAATTGGCATCTCTGTTTCGAGGTTGTCACACAAGTTGTACTGTTGCTCTTCTCTTCTTCCACTGGTCCCACTGAGGAGCCAGAAACCAAACTGGGTTCAACCCAAAATGTTGAGGTGTCTCAGTCAGAACAGAAATGAGCAAGGGGGCATCTCATGAAGACACGTCAGCACCAATGACTGAATGATACGATCAGAAACCTGGATGATGTTGGAATCATGTCAACATGGGGATGAGTGAATATCATATTCTGGATATGATGTGCATGGAATCATACTCAGTGTTCAGGTAGTCTTTGTGATGCACTCAACATGTGCACCTACAGTGATGAGTGTGTGTATTTCTGATGAACTACAGCGTCTTAGACAGACTGAAACTTCACTCACCTTTGCCACAATGCAGCTGTATGATTAAAGATAAACCCATGCTGCAGTGAATGTAACACTGTTTGCCTTTTACAGAGAAAATTACAACAATCAAGCCTTGCGAGGAACAAGTCTGCATCCAGCACTTCAGATTGGTCATTTCTAAACACTGCTGTGAGCTGATGTAAACTGGTTTTCCAAGTCTGACCACTAGATGTCACCCATCACCAGTGCCATTGCCAGTGTATGTGTGTGTGCATGTGTGTAAGATTCCCTTTGATAAACTTGCAACACATCTATAGCTGCATCCTTGACTCTCCTGTGAGACCCAAACAGAGGCATCAAACACCTCCTTTGACCAGTTTTATCAAGCTGAAGAGGCTGATTACATCCAGTGCACTTTCTTCTCTTCACACACAGTTGTAGTTGTTTGTTAAAATAACACAGCTGGGACGGACAAGCTGTGAGCACAAAACACCTTCATCTTAAGATTTTAGATTGAAGTGTTGTTATTGTCAGCTGTTACATAAGTAATGCACTGAGTGATTGATGGTTTCTTGGCTCTGTGTTCAGCTAGGTGCCCAGATGTCTGAGGAGGCTCTGAGGATGACGACTTGGCCTTAGAACCCCACCAGTATGTCAGGTAAGATGTCTGGCCTGATTATCCTGACACACACACACAGCCTCATGCCCCCAGGTGAATTCTAGATAAGACTTTAGGTTTACTTTAGAGTTGCTGATAGTTGATATTTAAACCAGTATTCACTAAAATCTAAAATTGACCTTTCATGCTAAAAACAAGTACTCTGTGTTTGCCCTGAATTATTTTCTTGTCAGCCTAGAAAGACTCAGCAAATAGACATTTATAGACATATCATGAGACACTAAAACTGAGAGACAAACATCTCGGGTGCAAACCAGCAGCTCATTAGTTTGTGTTTCTTATCTTTAAACTCAAGTCTGCGAACTTAAATGCATCCAATCTAAAAAAAAAAAACATAGTTAGACTCAGTTGAAAATTTGATAAGACCCTCGAAACATGATCAGCTGCAGAATCAGTTGCGTGGATGTGAGTCGTTGTTTGTCTATGGCGAAAGTGAAGAGGCTTAACCTTGTAGTGCAACGTTAGTCAGTTTAAATTTTGACTCTTGGACTTTGGCATTGTTAATTTAACTGCTATTTGCAATGTTTAGAGTTAAATTTTTAGCCAACATGCACAAGTTATAGAGTTGAGTATTTATTGCCCTATACACCTGGTGCAAAGAAGCGCACAACTGTCACTGCTAGTCTTAGATCGACACAGCCCAGTGTCATTTTCACAGCCAGCGCCCACGTTGTGCAAATGTTCTTACACCCATCTGTGCACACATGGGTGTATACTATAGGTCTTAACATGAGGTGTGGTCAGGCGCAATGTTGGCATATTGCTATTTTGAGACAGAAGAAACTGCACCATTGACCAACAAAAACCTGGTCTGAAGTCAAAATGGCGCCATATTTTCCTGCTATTTAAAGGGCACATTATTTATATGGTAAGATGCGTTTTCTAGAATGTGAACGTAGCAGAGAGCAGAGCAGAGCTGCAGGGCTCCCTGTCAAGGAAGAGGCTGTCTGCATTTAAGCACGAGGAGCAGTAAAACTTTGTTGATTGTTTCAGGCACTACAAGTGTAGTTATGTTTCCTCTGTCAAGTTCAGAACTACAGAGTTTTGCTGCTTACATGTCCAACAATATTTGAGTGGGTGTTGGAATTCATGTTCAACACACCTATGATTTATTAATAGACAAAAACAACCCATTTATCTGTTGTGCGTTACTTTGCGCCCAAATTATGCGCCAGTCAGCTAGCAAAAGCGGAGTTGGACATGCCCTGTATGCACTTGCGTTGTGCACTTGAGCCCATGCACTATAGATGATTTTAACAGGGCCGTTTTAGTTCTACGACAACCGAAAAAACTCAGTCTGCTGATAAAGATCAAAGCTCTGCAACAAATTGAGTAACTGGACATCGTCTACTGCTGCTACCAAGGTCAAAATTGAACTGTCAAGCTTAACTTCGTCTCTGGTCTTGTTTGTTAGTGTCCCGTCTAGGCACAGCCAATGAGAGGAAACCATGGTGTAGCATGAAAGCCATTGACAAAAAGCCAACTTTCTGTGCAGAGCATACTTCCAGCTTTACGTGACACACTGCTTGTGCAACTGATCATGTGTGGAGGGCCTTAGAAATACCTTTTGTGTTCTAATGTCACTGGTTAGTGCTGAGCTGTCCTCATCATCATAGGACCTTGTTTACTGTAAGGGCAGCAGAAAAGCAACATAATCAGTTTAAATCAATCATATTCTTTTGAAAGGACAGTATTGGTCTAGTTTCAGCATTACAGTCAAACACTACATTTTACTGAATAGAAATAAAATGCTTTACTCTTTAAATGTTTAATGATTTGAGAGTTTAATTGTCTCAGTTTGAACTTGGAAAAAACATTTATTACATTTCATATAGTGCACATTAGGACAGTAGATTAAAAGCCGTTTCAGGACATGTTAAAGCTCCCGGCTCGTAATGTAAAGACGGACGTGTTGCTGTCTACAGACAGGATGTACTGCACGTTGAACAGTCTGTGCCACTCTGTGTGTTTGCTTACTCAGCTCAGATAGTGTACAAGGCGAACTAGCCATCGCGTGTGGATTTAGCCGGTCCCACTGACCTGGCTGACCCGCCACATATGCTATCGACCTCAGCGTAGCGTACAGACACGAGCTTACATGTATCACATGAGGAAATGAACCTGATCCCCTCACTCACTGTAACACCAGACCAACAACAACAACTACAACAACATACTGTGACAAATGTTTCTGATGCTTCATTCACATTTAACCTGCTGTTTTATTAGACTGTTGATTCCTTTGATTTGATGTGAGGAGCAGAGGAGCGCCAGTCTGCCTCTCTCACCTGTTTCACTGAGCAAGTAGCTTTTTTGTAAAAGTGCCTCTCCCATCTATTTTAGAGCCAGCAGAAAATTGCTCCCCCCGCTGGAAAGATGAGGCCATTCAAAATGGTAATATTTATCCTCCCTCTCAGCACTGCTTTTCCTCCTCTCTGTCAGTTTGGGTGAGCTTTGGAGCACTCATGAAAACTGTAGAGCTTTCCACTAAAAAACTGAGGAGCTGCTTCAGATTTAACCTCCTTCAGATTTTACTTGAAATGTTGTGAAAGGCCTTGAATGACTCGATTGATTCTGTTTTTATCTGGTAACTTGGGTAAGTAAGTGATTAAGAGAAACCAAGGGATTAAAAAAAGTTCAGTTGGCACACTTTAGATGAATTACTTTCAATTAAATACCAAGCTTGAGTCAGCGTATTGTAGTCAGCGGAAAAAGCAGGTCAGCTCAACATGAAAAAACGTATCTACAGGCGAGCATGCATACATTAGGAATAAAGTGGAAATCATCAACACAAACAACTAAAGTAACTTTAATAAAATTCAACAGCTATTTCTGGTTTCCCATAATTAACACCAAAGTATGCCATTCTTTCCACTATTGGAACTGATCACAAAAACATCGACATTCCTGTTAAACTTGTAGTTGTGTGCAAAGGACTGCAGCATATCCATTATGGTGTGGTCTTCAGGAACAAGGTCAAAGAATGTCTTTATTGTGCTAACTAACATAATTACATCACCGACATGAAAGCAAAAGGAAACAAGAGACATGATCAGAGACACATTTGATCACACTAACAAGTAAGTGTAGCTGTAATATGTGTCTGATCATCATACTCTATGGATACTGAACAAAAATATGAACACAGCAATTGTGTTTTTGCTCCCATTTTTCATTAGTTGAACAACAAAAGGGACGGTGCTGCAGTGGTTAGCATTGTCACCTCACAGCAACAGGGTTCCTGGTGCGAACCCAGGATGGGTGCTTCGAACCCCGGGTGGGGGAGTCCTTCTGTGTAGAGTTTGCATGTTCTCCCTGTGTCAGTGTGGGTTTTCTCCAGGCACTCCAGCTTCCTCCCACAGTCCAAAGCCATGCAGCTTAATTGGTGACTCTAAATTGTACATAGGTGTGAATGTGAGTGTGAATGGTTGTCTGTCTCTATGTGTCAGCCATGTGATAGTCTGGTGACCTGTCCACGGTGTACCCCACTTCTCGCCCAATGTCAGCTGGGATAGGCCCCTCCCGTGACCCCCAACAGGATAAGAGGCTATGGACAATGAAACAACAACAAAAGGCCACTCTGAAATATGCATTTTTATCACAGAACACAACGCTACAGATGTCACAAGTTTTGTGCTGCCTCCAGTATTGTTTCTGTGAATTTGGCAGTACATCCAACCGACCTCACAACTGCAGACCACATGTAACCACCCCAGCTCAGGCCGTCTGATTGTCAACAGCCACCCAAACAGCTGATGTAACAATTGGTTTGCAAAACTGAAAGTTACTGCACACACCATCATAAACTGTCCTGGGGAAGCTCATCTGAGCTCGTCTCAGATGATCTTGCAGGTTGGATGTACTGCCAAATTCACAGAGACAACACTGGAGAAGGCGTATGGTAGTGAAATGAACATTTAGTTTACAGGCAGCAGTTCTGGTGGACATTCCATCTGTAGCATTGTATTGTGTGATATAACTGCACATTTTAAAGTGGCCTTTTATTGTGACCATGCCAAGGCACACCTGTGTAGTAATCACGCTGCTTAATCAGCATCTTTACGTGCCCCACCCGTCAGGAGGGTGGTTAATGGATGATGTGAGCGAAGTGCTCACTAACACAGGTTTAAAATTTGTGAACATTTGAAAGAAATAAGCCTTTTGTGTGCGTAGACAAAGGATTAGATCTTTTATTTCAACTCATGAAAAATGGGAGCAACAACAAGAGGTTCAGTCATTAAGTGAACACAACCAAAGATTCAGCAAACATTAAACCAAACGTGGTATGCATAGAAATGTGCATTTTGGAGTGATGAACGTGATTTTACAGTGTTTGCCACGAATGCATTTTAATGAATTGTGTGTATAGTACCAAGTTATAACCAAGTTATATCCTTCAGAGCCAAATGACTGTTGAGATAATCTAGATGAAAAATTATCACAGTAAACTAATCACTAACAAGTCTGTAAGCATGCAGTGGAAACTTTCTACTTCCTCCTTTATCTCTGCTTTCCTCACTCTTACACAGCGCTATCACCGCACAGCTTTTCATATGACGGCAGGACAGCAAGACCAATTTCCAACACTAATCCTGCATTTTAAATGAAATGTATCATCCAGTCCCCAGTATAAATGTTGGCATTGTACAAATATATATATATGATATGTTGAAACTTAATGTTGCAACAGTACTGTGGTTAATGAGTGGTTATACATTTAGGCAAAAAAAACCAACTTGGTATTGGTGAGAAAAACATCATGTTATGGCTTAAAATACCCAGTTTGGTGGCACAGTTGCAGCTGGAAATGCCACAATATCTCGCATAGAAACAACCAGTTTTGGTAGCACATATGCCTCTGGAAATGCTACGTTATCTTGCTAAAAATACACCAAGTTATGATGGCACAGTCACTGCTGGAAATGCTGATATCTCGCAAAGAAATTACTCAGTTTTGGTGGCACAAATGCCACTTGAAATGCCGCATGTCTTGCAAAAAAAGACCCAGCTATGGTGGCACAATCACTGCTGGAAATGCTGTGATATCTTGCAAAGAAACAACCAGTTTTGGTGGCACAAAGGCCACTGGAAATGCTATATCTTGCTAAAAATACACCAAGTTATGATGGCACAGTCACTGCTGGAATTGCTGATATTTCGCAGAGAAACGACCGGTTTGGTGGCACAAATACCGCTTGAATTGCTGCATGTCATGGCTTAAAATACCCGGTTTTGGTGGCACTGTAGTTGCTAGAAATGCCACAATATCGCAACAAAAATACATCCAGTTTTGCTGGCCCAATAGCCTGAGAACACACCCAGTTCGGTGGCACAGTTGCTGCTGGAAAGGTCGCTGTCTTACAAAAAAGACCCAGTTTTGGTGGTACAATCACTGCTGGAAATGCTGTGATATCTCGCAAAAAAACAATCAGTTTTGGCAGGACAAACGCCGCTTGAAATGCCGCACGTCTTGCAAAAAAAGACCCAGTTTTGGTGGCACAGTCACTGCTGGAAATGCCACGATATCTTGCAAGAAATGCACCCAGTTTTGGTGGCACAGTAGCTGCTAGAAATGTCACAGATGTATCACAAAAAAAGACTCAGTTATGATGGCACAATCACTGCTGGAAATGCTGTGATATCTCACAAAGAAACAACCGGTTTTGGTAGCACAAATGCCGCTGGAAATGCTACGTTATCTTGCTAAAAATACACCAAGTTATGATGGCACAGTCACTGCTGGAAATGCTGTGATATTTCACAAAGAAACGACCAGTTTTGGTGGCACAAATGCCGCTTGAAATGCCTCATGTCATGGCTTAAAATACCCGGTTTTGGTGGCACGGTAGCTGCTAGAAATGCCACAATATCTCAACAAAAATACATCCAGTTTTGGTGGCCCAATAGCCTGAGATGTCTCCTAAAAGCACACCCACTTTGGTGGCACAGTTGCTGCTGGAAATGTTGCTGTCTTACAAAAAAAGACCCAGTTTTGGTGGCACAATCACTGCTGGAAATGCTGTGATATCTCGCAAAGAAACAATCAGTTTTGGTAGCACAAAGGCCACTGGAAATGCTACATTATCTTGCTAAAAATACACCAAGTTATGATGGCACAGTCACTGCTGGAAATGCTGATATCTCACAAAGAAATTACCAGTTTTAGTGACACAAATGCCGCCTGAAATGCCACACGTCATGCAAAAAAAGAGCCGGATGTGGTGGCTCAGTAGCTGCTAGAAATGCCACAATATCTCACCAAAAAACATCCAGTTTTGGCCCAATAGCCTCAGATGTCTCCCCAAAACACACCCAGTTTGGTGGCACAGTTGCTGCTGGAAATGCTGTGATATCTCGCAAACAACCAACCAGTTTTGGTAGCACAAATGCTGCTGGAAATGCTACAGTATCTTGCTAAAAATACACCAACTTATGATGGCATAGTCACTGCTGGAAATGCCAGATATCTTGCAAGAAAAACACCCACTTTTGGTGGCACAGTAGCCTCAGATGTCTCCCCAAAACATGTCCAGTTTGGTTGCACAGTCACTGCTGGAAATGCCGTGATATCTGCTAAGAAATGACCAGGTTTGGTGGCACAAATGCTGCTTGAAATGCCGCACGTCTTGCAAAAAAAGACCCAGTTTTGGTGGCTCAGTCACTGCTGGAAATGCAGAATGTCTCACTCTAAGACAACCAATTATGTTGTTTGCTGGTCTCAAACAATGGTCCACAGTTAACTAGGTATTACACCATCTTTCATCCCCTCCACCTCCCCATGATAAAGTCAGCTTCTATACATGTTATCAGAACTACATCACTTCACAAACGTTAATATGATACGTATGAATCTTACACATTTGTGGTTTGCAGAAAGTACAATGCCAACATTGTCTTCTGGCGATAGGGCTATAACTGCAGCACACACAGTCTCTCAGACAAAGTGTCTATCGTGCCTGGCAGGTGTTTTATACTCTGCAATGACTGCTGGTAGAGTCAACGACACTTTTCATGGAGGCCTGGGCTGCTGAGAATACGCCACACTCAATTCTGGTCCTCTGCGAACACTGTCCACACAAAAGGATGACTTTTAAATTGTCTCAATACAGTTTGAATTGCCTCAATTCAATTTTTACAGCTCACATTTGTTGAGTTAAGAGGGTTGTAAGAAAAACCTCATAAGGGCATGTCTGGTGCACATTGTCTTGATAACACTGTGTCCGTCATTTCTTCTCCTTTTGGTCCTTGCGATATAGAAGTAAAGCAAACACACTGACTTGGATGTGACTTTGTTAATCAGTGTCGACAGCACAGAGCCACTGGTCTTCATCACCTCAGTGTTTTTTTCCCTGCACCTCTCTCGAGAGTACCTGTCAGTCATACGGTGTGAGCTA